CAACTATACACTGGCGAAGTTTCAGAAGCAATGAGTTCTGTACAACATTTAGTGTAACAACAAACTTCCACTATGCTAGACTAATACTAATTAATTCGTGAATGAATGGATCGCCAAATCCGAAATTAAATTTGATAATACAAGTCACTCCCGTTATAATGACATCCGTTATAATGACAATCTCACTATAATGACATTTTTTCAAAAAACAAAATTTATAATATAAATTTACTCTCGTTATAATGACATTCATTATATATCCCGTTATACTAGTATAATGACATAATTTGTCAAAATTTGTTTTTATGACTATAGAATTTATCTCGTTATAATGACATCCACTATAATGACATGTCAGTATAACGAGAGAACCAATCAAATCATTCTGATCAACAATGATTGATTTTATAACTAATACATTTTAGAAAAAGTGTTTCTGCATTTAATAAAGTTTGTTTATACAAACCAACAATCGAATTGATTATATTTAATAATTGGAAGTTAGGTGTTTAGTTCATAAGAAGTTTCAACTTGTTATGTATTAAACAATAAAGAAATTGATTTATGAATTGTCTGTTTTTTGTGGCAAAATATACTTTTTTTACAGTAATAAAGGAATACATTATGAATTGTTCTGTATATCTAATAGTAATATATAGTGTTATTATGGGAAATTATGTAATGGATTTTATTACCATATTTGGTAATTAAAGAAATTTGTTCTCGTTTGATTAAATTTACTTTTTTAGCAATCGGGGTTTATTTGTCGTTTTGCTTCAAAGAATTATAGATGTTACTATCATTATTATATAATTATTATCTAAGGAAGTATCTTTAATTATGATTGTAAATCTTATTTATTTTATTTATTATTTAAAGAATCAAAATTTGAACTAATAAAGATAACTCTTATAATTTTACAACAATTAAATTGTCTATTCATTATATTATCCTATAACTCTCAATTAAAGATAGTAATTTTAAAAATGAATTCAACCTCTTCCTCTTCATCCTCATCTAAAAAAAGAATATCTTTAAGTGCTTCACAAAAAAAAGAATTATGTAAACGTGCTAGAAACAATCCCAGTTTAACTCAAGATGATTTAGCTAAAGACTTTAAAATTGGTCAAAGCACAGTTTCAATAATTTTATCAGAATCAAATAAATGGCTCTCTATTGATGAAACTCTCACAACTTCCCAATTTAAAAAAAATAGACAAGCAAATTGGCCACAATTAGAAGAAGCTCTAGCACTTTGGTTTGATCAGGCTATAAAACATAATCTTACAATTTC